TTTTAAAGCTGATAAAGAAAAGAACATCCTGTGTAACCTCGTTTACGTCACACGACTACGCGTCCAGAATCTATCCAATACGCGATCGCTAAAAAACACATTTTTTTATCAAGTGAACACCTAAAAGAAATTCCCGTAAAAAAGTCCGATTTCGCAGATGTTGATTTTATAAATTTCTTGCACGTGGTTTTCGGGTTCCCTTTTTTTTCCGACCCGCTCATGTGTGCGGCCACACATATTGGTTTCAGAATTGTCTAAAATGCTGGCGTTTTGGCTTAATTATAAATAAATTGCGTCGCAAGAATGCGAATGTTCCTCGCAGCTGTCAGTTTCGCTTATAAACTCTTTAGATAATTGGTACACAGATAATTTATTGTTGCCTTTCCTTAAAAAGTAAGTGTTGTGGATTTTTTAAATTAATGGTATATTTAGTTTGTAAAGAGGAGTGTGTAGCAAAGAGCTATGGAGAGGAGTATGATGGGGTATAAACGTCAGGATCAAATTAGAAACATAGATCTCAGAGAAAAAACAAAACTCACCGACATACTCACAAAACTTGATTTGCAAAAGTGGAGTTGGTCCAGACATACGATGCATGACAAGTTAGGAAAGTGGAGCAGGCAGGTTATAGAATGGAACCCAAGAGACGGAAAACGAAACCGAGGCAGACAGCATTTAAGATGGGAAGACGAAATTCGTCTAACAGCTGAGCCAAAATGGAGAAGGGTAGCCCAAGATAGGCAACAGTAGAGGTCGTTGGAGGAGGCCTTTGCCAATAGGCACACCGAGCTACGGGACTTTCTGTAGTTTATTTTATTTCTTAATTAAGTGTAGTGTAAGAGCGAATTTTAATTAGTAGTGACAGTAGTTAGAAACAAAAAAAGAAAAATATTTATTTGGTACATAAACATATACACATAAACACAGTTATTTTGTTACAAAGAGGAAGAAATAATTTTAAATGCTAAATATTAATGCACCAAAAAGGTTTCCACTCAGCGTTAAATTCACGAAGTTTAATAATAAAAAAGAACTTCATGAGAGCTGATATTCAGTGGAACCTATTAGTAGTAGTAGTAGTAGTAGTAGTAGTAGTAGTAGTATAGTAACAACAGCCTTTAATGGTACAACTGCGGAGCAGAGGCCATCTCATTATAGAGGGTATTAGGGCATAGTTCACCACGAGACCCCACTGCGGCGAATTTTAAGTATCAATTCTTTATTACCCTTAGTAAAGTAAGAAAGTATGTAGAGTTCATATTATTTCTAAATGAATGAGACCAATGTATAAAAGAGAAATGGAGAACGCTAAGCCTACTTAGCTGAACATTACGTTCAAATTGAAGCTTTTAAAACTGATAAACAAATTATATTTCAGTATAATCTCTCAAAACAATCCAGCTAACCCATCACCGCAAATTTTTATAAAATAATCAATTCCCATACCATAGTTGGTATAAATAATTGATTTCATATAAAACATGTATCTCTCAACCGATCAAGTAATGGTACTAATAATAAGAAATTGTAAAATTGGGCAGTATATCTTTTATATTATACCGGTGGAAGTGGAAGTCAATGGGGGAGGCCTATGTTCAGCAGTGGACGTCCTACGGCTGATATGATGATGATGATGATGAATAAGACATTCTTTTAGATATTAAAAGCGCATTTACAGAATCTGGCTAAATTTCATTCTGTGTAAATTTTATCCGTCTGCGCCAGAAGGAGGGTTATGTTTTTCGAGAGTATTTATGTATGTATGTTTAATTGTTTGACACGCTCTGCAGCCTGAACGGCTTGATGGATTATAGCTTGAGAGGTGTCGTTAGATTCGTATTTACTGTGAGAGTAACACCGGATATATCAAAATAAAAAATTACACAGCAACGCAGTCGCGTTTATAAGTTTTTTTTAGATTATATTCTACTTGTTCGCTCAAATGTTTTTTTTAGATTTTTTATATAACAACGAGAGATGTCACCTGATGTTAAGTCATTATCGCAGTCCATGGACATCTACACCACCTTAAAGTTACATATAGTCTTCCAACCTTAAACGAAACGCAAAATTATAACACTTCTGCGAAGTCTTTGTATAATCCATTTTAAATAAGACTAAGAACGTCAATAACCGGGATCTGTCATTTGAAAAATTAAGAAAAGTAATTTTCCAGTCCTATTCTTATTTTAATCGCATTGTACTTCCCTTAGTTTACGAGAGATATTTGAATTTGTTCAATTTAACTCCCGCAAAAAAAATCCCGCACTAAAAACAAAATAGGGGTCATTTTTAGGGTTCAGTACCTAAAGGAAAAAACAGGACACTATTACTAAGAATTCGCTGTCTGTCTGTCTGTCTGTCTATCTATCTGTCTGTCCGTCTGTCAACAGGCTGATCTGTCTCATTAACCGTGATACATGGACAGTTGAATTTTTCCCAGATGATGTATTTCTGTTGCCCCTATAACAACTAAAAAACAGAATAAATAAATAATCAAGTGGGGCTCCCATACAACAGACATGCTTTTTTCCCGTTTTTATAGATAATGGTACGGAACACATCGTCGCGAGTCCAACTCGCACTTAGCCGGCTTTTTTCTTAGTAGGCTTATTTACAGTCAGTTATCTAATAATCATTCAAATTATTGAGGCTTATGGTCGCGCAATGTAACCGTATAATTATAACATTATAAGTACTACTCAATATTTATTTATATTATTTATTTATTTACGCTTTATTGCGAACCTTAAAAAAAGTAACAAAGGGCGGACTCAATTCCCAAAGGCATTCTCTACCAGTCAACCCAGGATGCAGTGAAAGTATACGGTATGGTGCAGCAAGAGATGCAAAAATTACAAAATAATATTATAGAAGGAAAATAAAACATGATATATGTAAATATAAGGAATATATGAAAACCAGCATTTTAGATTATATAATACTAAAGTATAATAAAAATATACCTTTATTGTTATAATTACTTGTAAACCCGACACACCTTGTCCTGTACCGTGTGTACACCGTGTGTCTTAACCGACATATCCGACAACAACTTAGAAATAAGAAATAATCCAAAAAAACGTTTTATAGTGCACCGAATTGTGAATCTAAACCAATCGCGAATCCACTTGAACTGTGTGTGTCAAATTTCATCAAAATCGTTCCAGCCGAAGACGCACTGAAGAATTGTACATATAAAGATATACGTAAAAAAGTATGCGTATATAATGGCTTAGACCTAATTAATGGTTATCTTCAACAAGTGTTCATGAACCACTCTTTTGCAAGAGGCCTTATTTGTTGCATTCTTTATGTTACTGGGTAAGTAATATATGTATAAATATGTGTGTACACATTTTTTTTACGAATTCTGTGAAATGACCAAACATTTCTTGTTAAAAATCACGAGGACGACGTCGTGGCTAGCAGCCATTTTTGTTTATTATAAAGTAGCGTCCCGATCCGGCTTCGCACGGGTGCAATGTATTATATAATATATAAACCTTCCTCTTGAATCACTCTATCTAGTAAAAATTTTTAACAGAATGACAAATATTGAAATTAATATTTATACGATAATAATGCCACTCAATTGTGTTGCCTTCTAACACTAACACTTAAACTTTATGGTATGGTATTAAAGTTAAAATTGACTTTTAAGTTTTATTACGAATCTTTTGTATGGGAATATAGAAAGGTGTTGTTTTTAGACTTTTTCAGGCATTTTTTTTAAATTTTTCTCTCCCTAAGAACCATCCTCGTACTTGGAATATTATAAAAAAAGAATCGAAATCGGTTCAGCTGTTCTCGAGATTTGCGCTTAGCAACACATTCAGCGATTCAGTTTTATATTTAGAGATGACAATATTTACAACAGTAAGCGATTACAGCGCCATGGTAGCTTAATACCCAGACGTTTGACTCTACATGCATGCCTACTTGAGTAATCTGCAACCAGAGCTCGATCAAGTCACTTCAAGAGTCGATCAAGCCCGCGTACGACCGAGATATAATATCAAAAACAAAAATGAAAATATAACACAACAGGACTCACCCTAGCTCTAATATACTTAAAGGCAGTGCCGGATGAATCACGTAGCAAGAGTAGCCAGATCTCTGCCTAAGCCTTAATTTTTTGAGTGAAACTTATTAAATAACTAAGAGTTTTGATTTTTTTTTTACCAATTTATAATTAAGAACCCATAGCATATTAAGGACTGTTTAAAATAATTTGTTAGATCCGGCGCTTGTTTAATCCGGCACTGCTTAAAGGTATATCAAAAATTAAAGGCAGTTTCTTTATTCAATTCTCGTGCTCTTAAGAAAGTTAAAAATTACCACAGGTTCACTAATTAAGACTATTCCATTGAAGAACCGGAAAGTATGTAATATAATTATCTTAAATTGTAATAAGAATCTTTCCTTGCGTTACCTTAATAAATTGAAATAAAATATTCATTATTCTTAAATTTGGTCTAATAAAGTATTATTAAATAATAATAATACGTATTTATATTATAAATCGATTGCTTCAACAATTTCAATTTATTAAATTAAAATATTTGTTTTTATAACTCCATTATAAAATTACTAAATTATTAGTAAGCGACATCTAGTTTCACTTGCGTACAGCTCATTGACAAAACACACGCGTCACTTTTCAAAGCCTCCAAAGTGCAGCACTTGTACCTTAGATGTCATTGCAATTGTATTAACGTTGAGTTGTACTACAAAGAAATCACAGACTTAATATTAAATGAGAAATAACAAAAAAAATATTACGAATTAGATATAATTCTCAAACATAAGAATTTATTAAAATTATTGGTATATTTTATGGACATAACCTAAAACTACGAAAAATCTTAAACGAAAAAGCACTGTCGGAACGTCATCGCCAAACTCGACACAAACTTTTCGAATCCGATCATCGTGCCGAGATTCGTTTTTTGACGGTCCTCTTTCGTTCTCCAAAATAGATCTATCGAATAATATTATGCGATAACGCTTTCGAACAGTTTGATATAGGCATCGTTATGATTCTGGTGCCTGTGGCAGACGAATTCGTCTTGAGTGACGCAAACTGGATGCTGTCCGTCATACTTGGCGCTGTTGTATTCCACGCTCATCGCTTTCACCTCACGCAATACATCCTTTAAACAAGCACACTGCCAAGGGTTCTGGTTGAAGAAGAACCTTGTCAATCTCGCTCCGGAATTCTTCAACTCCAAGCAGAAATTATACTGAAGATAAGTGAACTTATTGTTCGACAGATTGAGATTTTTTAAAACAGTACCACGAAAAAAATTTACCGGAATGGCTGTCAACGCATTATTCGAGAGGTCAATGTTTGCCAACACTGGCAGGTTACGGAAAAGATCGTCCGGTACGTGTTTCAGTTTATTATCTCTAAGTACGACCATTTTTAAGTTTCTCAATGGTTTCAATGCGTGTTCATTTATAAACTCCAAGCAATTCTCCGCCAAGTTCAATATCTCCAAGTTGTCTAAATTCACAAAAGTGGCTGCATTATCAATTTTGCTAATAAGATTCGTCGAGAGCATGAGATGCTTCAAGTTTTTCAAATTCGGTATGGTTGCGAACCGCGGTACTGCTTTGAGAAAGCATCTGTCCAAATTTACGAAATCCAACGCACGGAATGCATGCAGCAAGTTATCAGGCGATTCGGACATGTCATTTCTCGAGAAATCCACGAATTTTATTTGCTTGCTCCTATCAAAAATGTACGGATTTATATCTTTTCCCACAAGGGAGTTACTCGATAAGTCTAAGTGTTGCAATTTTGTCAGTGCATCGAAAACTCCTAGCTTCAGGTTTTTTATCGTATTGCCTCTTAAATCTAGCAATTTCAAATTGGGTTTTTGGTCGAATAAACCTAGTGGAAATTCCGTTAACAGGTTGTAGGACATATTTAAATACGCTACATGTTTGGCACCGTCCAGGACTCCCAATTTAAGTTCTTTTATTTTATTCTCCGAAAGGTCTAAGTACTCTAAAGAGGGTAGACCATTAAAAGATTCGAGCGCAATACTAGAAATTCTACAAGACCGAAGCGTGATGCCGGTTGTTTTATTACTGTCTGATATCAGTCCTCTTTTAAGGATAAAATCACTCTGTCCAGCGTTGCACCATATGATCCTTTTGATCATTATTCAAGGATTTGCACAAAGGTTTTGCTTCAAGTAATAATACAGTGCTTTGTATTAAAACGAAAATTCCTAAATGGCGGAAAATCAGCTCCATTACTGAAAAGATAGATAAGTTTAGAATTTAAACGGTTTTATAATGAAGAATAAATAATTTACTGGTATCAATTGAAGTATGGCCTGTAAGCTTGAGCGTGTACTTTGGCAATCGTCCAGGGGTTTTATTACAAGCATGAGTTTTAAAACATAGATATGTAGAAGAAATTTACTTACCTTTTACTAATGACCTCGATTTGTTGAATTGTCTTCTGTTGTTCTTAAATACCAATTTTTTGTTTTAATAGGAATTTAGTCACAAAACTAATATTGAATGCGTAGGAGCGCTCGCACGACGCTTGGGCCGGTTTCCCTGCGTAATGTAAGCAGGTGCCTACTTACACGACAATAGTACGAACACGAATAAATATATACACATAAATGTAACTACATGTAAACAAGGATGGGAAGCTTCATTACATAAAATATATTTAATGAAAAAAAGTGAAACTAGGTCTTACAAATCTACGATTCTTACCGTACTAAAGCTATTACTAAAACTTAAATGTATCCTTATTTTTATTACACATCGAAGACAACTCAAGGACGACTTGACATTGTTAATAATCCGTGGTTAAGATCTATCCACAGATAAAAATGATTATGAAACATTGGCAATCATTCTGGTTCTGCGTTCATTCTTTTTTTCTAAGCATTATTAATAAAGAAAATTACATAACTATATTATTTGTTCAAGTTATAATCCATTGAACAGGCAAAAACTATTTGGAGCGCATTAAACTTTTTTAGTAAGATGTTTGATTGCGCGTCCATACAAATATCAGTCCATACATTTGATATTTGTATGGACCTTGCTCATTCCATTTAGTTCCATGCGTCAAAAACAGATGGCGTTGTTTTAGATGCAAAACCATTTTAACTATGGTACCATTAAATTAAAAACAAAATTTTATTTTAAGTTAAAATAAATTTATAAAAAATTTTTTATGTTGGTTCTTATTTTGGAGAAAATTGTATTTTATTAAACAAAAATTATTAATTTGAAACAAAACAACTAAGCAAAATACTGGAAGTAATTTTAAACAGTGCACCGGTACTTTACCGACATAACTGCGGCCTGCGGCCGGTTATTATTCATTTATTTTATTCGGTTATCTTTCATTATTCATCATTTTATTTTGTTATACGTTACGGCAAAACATTAATATTGTATTTACAGGTAAAGACTGCAACGCAAATTTGCATTCTTTTCCTTACCTGATAGTGACAGATTTAAAACATGGATTTAATCGATTGGAGGAAATTTACTCATTTTGGATAGCCAAAAATAATTAAACGTAAATAATTTACTAAACCGCACCAGACACGAAATCATTCATAACAAAGATTATAAAAAAATAGTGAGTGAATATTATAAAAAACAAAATAAAGTTCGCAAAACATATTTCTGTATTTTATTTACTTTATCCAAAAATAACATCTAGCAAGCTTGTATCCGATTACAGTTTTCTATACAATGTTATCAAATATATATTATATATATTAATTAATATAAATTAAATAAATTTCATATACACTATATAGAAAACTGTAGTTGAATACAGCTCTCAACTGTAAAAACAAAATGGTTAATTAGTATAGGTTATATACATCTGAACTTGTAGTTAGTACACTACTACTACTACTACTTCCTGACCGTTATCGGTCACGGCGACCGCTTCAGCTCCGGTGTTTTAGGCGTTCATGCGCTCTAGCGTGGCTCACGTAACCAATTTTGTTAGCAAATGTCCGCGCGCATAATGGACATGTGAGCACACCACTGACATAATTGTAGTTTATTGCCGCAGGTGGTCGGGCTTTTCAGCTCATCCCGTCTGACGTCTAGCCCAGTACATCGACGGGACTCAAATTGAGTAGTCTCCTTTTCTACAAGAGACCTCCATTTAGAGCGGACTGTTGCGTGCTTCTCCCACTGTGACGGGTCAATACCACAGTTTTTCATATGGCGCTTAAGCACATCCTTGTACCTGAGGAGTTGCCCTCCATGCTTTCGCTTGCCCTCCTCAAGTTCTGAATAGAAGATGCGCTTAGCCACTCGACCTTCTGCCATCCTCGATACGTGTCCGCCCCAACGAAGATGGCGCCGCATAAGGTAGACCTCTATTCCACACACTTTAGCTCTCCGCAAAACTTCGGTGTCCCGTACACGGTCGGACCAGCTGATCTTTAAAATTTTGCGGAGGCATTTTAAGTGAAACCGATCTAAAGTGCGGATGTGACGACGATAAGTGGTCCACGTTTCAGATGAGTATAGAAGGTTTGGAAGCACGACAGCCATGTAAACAGATATCTTTGTGGCCAGTTTCAGGCTATGCGTGCGAAAGACCTTCGTATTCAGTTTACCAAAAGCCGCAGCTGCAGCACCAATCCTGCTGTTAATTTCGACATCAAGGTCGCATGTCGATGATATTGTGCTTCCCAAGTAACGAAATTTGTCGACCTGTTTTAGCACATCATCGCCAAGTTTTATAGTCAGTGTCTCCCGACCATAAATGTCCAAAGACATTACTTCCGTCTTTTTGACACTGATTTTCAATCCAAACTTACTGATGAAAGCCGGCCACAAGTTGTTGTAGGTCTCCCGGGGATTCCGCAAGAAAGCATAAGTCGTCCGCGTACATGATTTCAGTGATCAGTTCATACGACACTTTAGTTTTTGCTCTGAATCTGGCCAGGTTGAAGAGATTCCCTTCGGTGCGAAAACGGATGCGGATACCTTTCGGTGAATTCTGCAAGACATCACGGACAGCAACTGCGAAGTACAGGGCGAAGAGTGTAGGCGCCAGCACGCACCCTTGCTTCACCCCACAGGTAACGGGGAAGAAGCTTGACTCGTCGCCATCCACAGCAACGCAGCACTTCATATCATCGTGTAACAGTCTCATGAGTCGAACAAATTTCTCCGTACATCCTAGTTGACTCAACACCATCCACAAGGCTTGGCGGGGAATACTGTCAAAAGCCTTCTCAAGGCCAAAAAAGCAGATATATAGATTTCGGCTCTGTTCTCTGCTTTTCTCTTGTAACTGACGCAATGAGAAAATGGCTTCACAGGTACCCCGGTTGGGCCGAAAGCCGAACTGTGTTTCAGGCAATATCTCCTCGGAAAGCTTCATAAGGCGGTTCAAGAGTACTCTTAGCAAAGACTCTAAGCAAAGACTTTCCCGGGCACTGTTAGAAGTGAAATTCCACGGTAGGAGTTGCAGTCTGCACGATCCCCCCTGTTTTTGTATAGAGCTCTGATGCGAGATAGTTTAAAACTAGTCGGTAAGCGTTCTTCCTCCCACATACGAACAAACAGTGCCCATACAGATGAGTGCAACTCCTCGCCTCCATACTTCAGCAGTTCACCCGGCATAGAGTCAGTGCCGACCGCACGCTTATTCTGCTGTTGTTTAATTGCGAGAACAACTTCATCACGAGACAGAGGCTCATTCAGCGCAAGAACTTCGGGGAGCTGAGGCATTGCACTGATATATAGAAGATTAGCTGTTCGATCCACGTTTAGTAGAGAGTTAAAATGTTCTGCCCATTGTTTCAGCACATCTTCCCTACTTTTTAGAAGGTACCCACCACTCGACTTAAGTGGCACCTTCACATGATATTTTGTGCCAGTTAGTTTTCTAACTTCCCCGTAGAACTTCCCCACCTGGTTCGTATCCGATAGCCACTGTATATGACGAGCTTTGTTCTGCCACCACCTCTCCTTTGTTTCCCGACACAGCTTTCTCAGTTTTAGGTCACTTTGCTTGACCTCTGCTATGCCTTTATCTTGATTTTTCTTACAGCGTCTTCGCAAGAGTCGTCGGTGCCACAATCACCGCTTCCATAAGAGATCTGTCGTTCTCATCAAACCAGTCCTCTTTCTTACGGGCTGTTACACCCAGGGTAGCTTTCGCAGTTTCTAAAATATGAGAAGACAGAGACTTCCACTGAGATCAATGTCACGACTCTCACTATTGGAAAAAGGTAGCGCTCCAGTCAAGGTTTCAGCATATTTTTTTCTAGTCTATAGATCTTTCAACTTATCAAGGTTTAGGTTTGCTGGCTTTGTTTTACGAAACCTTCGAGGATGGTGAAGGCACAGGCGCAATTTGGTGACTACAAGTTGATGGTCCGTCCAGCAGTGTGCACCACGCATGACACGGGTGACCAGGACTTGTGAAATATCGCTTTGTCTTACGATAGCATAGTCAATCAAATGCCAGTGCCTAGATCTCGGATGCATCCACGTCGTCTTGTGCTTGGCAGGCAGTCTGAACATAGTATTTGTTATTGCCAGATCAAATTGTGCACATAAGCTTAATAGCAGCTGTCCATTGCTATTCATGTTGCCGACTCCGTGTCTACCCAAAACCTTAGGCCAGGCCTCAAAGTCGCGTCCAACCCTAGCATTAAAATCACCCAAAAGAAGGATCTGCTCTCTGAGACGTATCCTATCTAGGCATTTGGTTAGCTCCTTATAGAATTTTTCCTTAATATCATCAGTTTTGTCCAGCGTGGGAGCATAGACACTGATGACATTAAGGTAGTTGTCACCGTCTAGTTGAAGACGCAGCGTAGTGACGCGATCCGAAACGTGGACTGGATGTTCTTCAAGTCGTTTCGCAAGGCTATTTTTGACCGCAAACCCAACGCCTGATCGCCTGGGTTCAGAGGAGGCTCTACCTTTCCAGAAGAAGGTATACCCTCCTCCGTTTTCTACCAGCTCTCCTTCGTCGGCAAGGTGCGTTTCGCTGATAGCAGCCACGTCTACATTGTATCGGCCGAGTTCTCGAGCGACTATGGCAGTTTTTCTTTCAGGGCAGGCATTTTCACTCCGGTCAAGAAGCGTTCGTACGTTCCATGCGCCAAAAGTCATAACAGGTGTTAAAGGTTTTTTATTTTTTATATTGATATGTCGACCACGCTTTAAAAGATGCGGAGGCAGTCGTGGTTACTACCATCCTCGTAATATTGGGTGAGCTTTTTTTAGGGCACCTTTTCTAGCCCCCTCCCCGGCTAAACGGGGAAAGCAGTGCCTCCCTAAATAGGGCTGCTTTGTCACTCTAGGTGCTGCCGAGATCTTTCTGTCACCCAAATGCAGAACGAAAGCGACCAAGATGCATATTGCACCCCTAGAGCCGCCAATGTGCAGGTTTCAGACAAAACCTGGCTTGCATCAAACCAGACCTCTCTACCTCAACCCATCGCCACTGGGCTTTATGTTAAATATGTATAATGTGTATAAATGTAGTTAGTACAACTACAAGTTCAGATGTATATAGCTATACTTTTAACCATTTTCGTGGTCGTGTATATTTTTGTGAAGTAACTTAACTTACCGTAATTTTAAATCTATAGTCTATACCCTTGATTCGATCCCGCTCAACTGCTCACTTGTTGCGTTCTATGATAATGGCACTTATTTTTTAATAAATTTAAATGTAGTTTACATTACGGATTTCAGAACGTTTAATATCTCCTATTAGAATTACTTACAATAATTAATAACTAATTACTTTTTTTAGCTATATAACATTTATATTCTTTTAAAACTAGCAGTATCCACCTAGAGTTAAGAAATCATTTCACAAGACTGCAACATACATTCCAAATAAAAAGCAGCGCTTTAGCAATTAAGTCTTAATTAACAATAAGTTATGACAGTCAATGTAACAGTCTTGTCTCATGATTTATCTACTTAGTTTTTTTTTATTTATTAATTTTAATATAAATGTTCGTTTCTTTTTATTAATTTTAATATAAATCATCGCTCAAGAGTTACTGAATGAATGAAAAGTACCTATTAAAACTCTATTTTAGGACTAAAATTGCGTGTTTTAATTTTTTCGCAACACAGTCGATTGTTTTTTTAATTATTGACTTATTCTTTACTGAATTATTGGAACTATGATCTATCGCAGACAAAATTTTCAGAAGTGACACACACAGAATGTTCTCCATCGAAATAATGACTGTTATACTCTATCTTAAGAGATTTCACCTCTTGCAATAACTCATTTAAACACGCACATTGCCAAGGATTCGGGTTGAAGAAAAATTTGGACAAATTAACCCCAATGTCTTTCAGCTGCGAACAGAACTTTTCCGGCATGAATGTTATTCCGTTGTCCGATAGATTGAGATTTTTCAATGACGTGCCTATCAATCCGCGGGCGCTGAACGACGCTATAAAGTTGTGGGCCAAATCCAAATTCACGAGTTTCGGTAAGTTTTGGAAGAGGTTAATCGGGATTTCTCTCAATTTATTACTCCGAAGATAGATACCTTTGAGTTTCCTCAGAGGCTTAAACACGTTTTCGTTTATGGACTCCAAATTATTCCTTTCCAAATCCAAAACCTCCAAGTTTTCTAAATTCACGAAGACAGTAGCGTCGTCGATTTTCTGGATTTGATTAGTGGATAACACAAGACGTTTCATCGTCTTCAGATTCGGTGACGTCGCGAATTTGGGCACTTCCGCGAGGAAGGCTCTATCCAGAGTAAAAGACTCTAATGATTGCAGAGAATGCAATAGATTATTTGGCGCCCGGGACATGTCGTTTCTAGATAAATCTAGAACACTGATGTGAGGGTTTTGATCGAACAAATAAGGGCTAATATTCTTCCCTATCAGTGAGTTACTAGACAAATTCAACGCTTTTATCTTTGTCAGAGGATCAAGCACTCCCAGTTCAAGTGAGGATAACCCGTTTGCTGAAAAATCGAGGTTCAATAGATTTGGAATTTGATCGAACAAACCGAGCGGAAGGTTCGTAATCGAATTATAAGATAAGTTGAGGTGATTCAGTTTTGTCAGACCGTCCAGCACACCCAACTCGAGGTTTTGGATTTTGTTCTGCGATAGATCTAAATGCTTCAGTGATGGCAGGTTTTCGAACGACTCCAGGTCCACTTGGGAGATTCCGCAGGCCCTTAGTACCACCTTCGTTGTTACGTTCCTGTCAGACACCAAGCCCCTTTGCAGAGTGAAGTCGCTCTCTCCACGCTTACATATAACGGCGGTCTTTGCAGCGCCATAGATCTTACAGGTGGGTTTAGCAGACACTGATGTCAGCAAACAGGCGCAAATAATCAACCGGGCTACCATCATTCTGTAAAAAACATGATTGCACAGTTTAGTGTGTTAAGAACAGACTAATAATTTATAATTACTATTTGATCTTTATATTAGATTAGTAGTACCGTGATCGGTCACAAAATGATGTATCTTATTTTGGAGAGTAACGGTAAAAACTCTACTTAACTATATTTCATTTAATGTAATTGTCAATAGGTGGCATTATCATACATTTTTTTATAAGAACTTTTTAAATGAATGTTTTTTTATGTAAACATACACTTATTCTATTTGTCTGTTTTTGTGGATAGCAGCAAGCATAAGCTTTAGAATATTGTTTGAATCATTAATTTTGATGTATTATGGATGTTTTGGCAAAAATACATGACGGATGTATTTTTAAAATAAAATATACAGAGATAGAGATAATTATAAATATATTGAAGTATATGTATCAGGATAATTCCGACATAAATTTGTATGACATCAATAAGGGTACAGTTTTCTTAATTATTATTAATTTTTATTAATTATCGAAATTAGGTTTACATCTAAGACCATTATCTAAGATGTAAAACAACATCTGTTAACGTTACGAAAATAACTGATAAATATTTATTTAATTCTAAAAATGCATTTGGGTTTTTAATTCGAGCATTTGAAATATTAAGCTAATATTATTTTTTAATTATACTTTATGCACACAAAATATGTACAGAGGCGGACTTAATGCCATCAGCATTATCTACCAGTCAACCTTAGGGTGGACCAGAGCAGTTTAAGTAGGTGCAGATTGTAAAATGAAAAAAAAAAAGAGAGATCATAGAAAAATCAAATTTATACAGGATATTACATAAAATACTATACTGGGCATATAAAAAAATAATAAAACATACAATTGCTATATATATACATTCAGTAAAATAAATGTATATATAATTATATACATATATGATTAACGAGTGAATCTGTCGACAATTTTTTGAGCAGGTATTCACGAGATTTTCTTTTAAATGCGAAGAGATTCTTAGCCGTCCTAATTTCAAAAGGCAGCGCATTCCTCAGAACCATAGATTGGACAAAGAAAGATGAGTGCATAAAACTAGAACTATGAGAAGAACACTGGAGAAGACGACTATGCGTTGAGCGAAGATCTTTATGATGAGCTAAACAAAGATATTTAAAGTGTGGAGATAAGTATGAAGGAGTAGAAAAGGAATCAAGAAAAGAATTATCTTAAAGAGCGGTGTTGGCGAATAGGTAACCACTGAAGTTGAGAACGATAGAAAGACATATGCTCATACTTAAGAAGATTGAAAATAAATCGAATGAAGTTACTCAAAAGTCAGTCAAGTTTATTGAGGTCATCTGCATTCAGTTCAAATTAGTCGCACACGTCAGTAGCACATGTCGCCATCGCCACAGTCGATTAAAAGAAGTATTAGGGACATCAAGAGCATTGCTTTAGTTTTTGATGGTAAAAAGTTTTTAAGTCTGTACAGAAACCGTGGAACACTTGTGACCAAAGAGTACATTATGAATACCGAGAATAGAGTTATCAGTGTCCTCGTGAGACAGTCATAGAGATGAGCCATATTTTGATACTTTACTGAACTACAAGTTCAGATGTAGGTATATAGCTTATCCTTTTAACAATTTTCAGTTTTCATAGTTGAGAGCTGTATTCAACTACAGGTTTCTATATAGCGTATAATTAAGAAATTTTTATTTGATTACATTGTATAGAAAACTGTAATTGAATACAAGCTTGGTGGATGTTATTTATGGATAAATTAAATAAAACACATAAATATGTTTTGCTAACTTTATTTCGTTTTTTAAAATATGTAATTAAATAATAATTATTTTAAAATATGTATAATAAATAAATATTTGAATACTATAAATTTACCTGTTTCTTCCAGTATAGTGTGATAACTAGCTTTATTCAACATTGTTTCAATCATGTGACCTGTAAGACGACTATACTGAGTTAATTATACACTCTATTCCAACTAAAGTTAAAAAAACCACATGACTAGTAGCCATCACACTATTGCGATTTGAATGTTAATTGTTGATTTTAAGATCTTATATTTTCATTATAACTTAATCTCTTTACAATTCTTTATTAACAATAAGAAACATAGATGGGCTCTGCCTATTTATATCATAAAAATAAATTATGAGCAAAGAAATTAGATTTTCTTCAAATAAGAAACTTACATAAATTTTAAATACTTTTTTATACAGCGTGTCTTTACCACCGCGACAATAAATGAACACACGTCTAACGCTACTTGCCAATAATCATAAAAAATTTTAAGTTAAAAAAATCCATAATTAAAAAAAAAATTTTTTTCAAACAAACTAATTAAATAAAAAAGAAACAGAATTTGTAACATCCTATACAAAGCTACACCTATAAACATCCTGTCAGATGTACTGACTGATTCATTCGTTCAGAGACTTCTTGATTCGTTGCCACAGCACCGCATTACAAGCCTCTCCTTCTAACAGTATTTTTTGTCTCTTTTAAATTCATTCAATCCATTCATATATTTTGTGACCTTTACAAATGAACTTTACATTAAAGTTTTCTCTTTTCGCTCAAAAATATTGAAGTCCTTCAAGGTAATTTCCAGCAATTTGAAAGATTCTGCAAAGATGAATGCATCTGTCAATTTTTTTGCTTCCAAATTCTACCGGCTGTTCTACATTCTTTTTTAATAGACAGTTAATGTTGTTTCCGGAAATTTATAAACTAGTCTGTACCTGGGATATTATTCTTAAATGGTCTCGAGATATTATTTACTCGCACATATTCAGCGACAATCTTCATGATTTCAAAACCTCGATAGACCAATTCCCATTTCTCCATAGTTGTAATTGCTTCTGCTAATTTATTTTCTTCTTCTATAGGTATGACGGTACGAGTAGGTCTTCCTGCATTAAACCTAACTGTTCCTTTATTTCTCTTAACGTTTTCATGAAGAGTCGTCAAGGGGATTTTATATATTTGAGCTGCTTTATATTGCGTCAGTTCTCTTCTTAAATTTTTCGATTGATTGAGCCAAATCTTGTGAGGTGTCTTTTTTTTAAATTTCTTTCTTATGTAATTTAGGGACATGATAGCTTTGTAAAATAAATTTTGTTAATATTACAAAATACATCAAACTAAGTTTGAGAACCTCTGCTAATTACTATGTAGGTAAAAGCTAAATGGGGTTATTAGGAAATAATTATATAAGCCCGGAGTTCCGAAAAAAAAAATAACAATTGGTATCTTATGTTCCTACTACATAAACGCATAATACAACAATCTGTGGTCAAAAGGAAAACTTGTTCATGTGACTTACCAAAATTGTGCTATAAATGTATTGAGGTTATTACGAATCACTAAAATTGGCGCGAATAACACTTGTCCGAGAAAACTTGCCGCAAGCACACATTTTAAATGTATTATGTTAACTTTTTAAAATCTGTCATCGATTTGGAATGTCAGTAGTGTGAGAGATATTTTCTAGATGAATCCAGCTCTGGATCTGATGATGGGATCCTTCAGAAAATCGTCAATTCTTCATTTTGCAAAGGCATATTCACTATGAATCAATTTTTTTTAAATGCATTTATATGGAATGTGTTTTTGGAAAGGTAAACTATGTCTGTCCTAGTCATTCTACGTATCACGAGTGTTTCACTAAAGTGGTTATGGATTTTGGAAACGCCATAGAATGCAACTGTCGTAGAGCCACGCAACAGTATTCACTGTTGCACGAATGGGCAGGTCGAGACGGCGTAAAGTAGAAGTTTTGCGTTTCGTCTGGAGAGTGAGGAAGCCGGGGCCCACGCTATTTAAAGATAGCAGCGTATTTCCAACCCTACCGGCAAACGTTTTGGCCTATTGCACGTGGTGCTTTCTTTAATGTATTTCTTGCATACGATATTAGTGCCAATAGTATAAATAAAACTACATTTGTAGTAACAAAAAACAAAACCGTCTTGGAATTCCCCGACTTATTTTGCGAGTCCAATACCAATGAATTTAACATGGGGCCACATAGGAGCCAAATCGAATCCAATGCATAGAAAGTGTTTAAAATTAGCTCATAAATGACGGAGTTCTGAAGTAACAAACATAAAAAAACGTGTGTGTACTTGTGTACGATACACGTAAGATAAGAAAAATAACTAAAAATTTTATCCCCTGTGCCAGTACTCTAAATGCAAATGATATCGGTTAATTTAAATAATTAGTTATTATATGTAAAGGTCATAAAGTGGTGGCTGCCACGGTATTACCGCAAAGTTGCAACTAACTTCATCATCCGATCTTCACGTGCTTTCTGGGCCTGTATAAAGCTTTTTACCTGGTTTGTAACGACATTTTATGGATAAAACTTGAAAAAGCCAACTTATCATTGGTTATATTCTAAGTTCTGGTACAGAGACCATGTCAGTGCGAAGGGATGCTATCAAGACCATACGGATTGCAAAGTGGGGTAAGGGGTAAGGCTTGAGCTCACCCTTGCTTTGAATTTGTATAAGAATAATCTAATAAGGGAGCTAAGAAGCACAAAAGTATGTCTGTTGTGTAGACTGTGTAAGGGTAATCAAAAGAAATTACTCGGAAGTTATGGTGCTGCTGAGTGCCTCATGCTGAAGAATATGCTCTGTGTCATATCCTATTTTCGATAAAAAGAGTAAAGCCAAGTACCGTAAGTACCACTTTGAAACATAAAATACCATGTTCACCATCACTCCCATGCTCTTTCTTTCCCAGTGAATCTCTTACGAACTGATATTTCAGTGAATATGATAAGAGCCTAACATAAATCTTATCTTTAAGCTGTGTATGTAATATAAATACATTGTAATGTTACGAAAAATAGGTAACAAAGCAAAACTAATACTTTTCTATTAAGCAGACTGTGTAAGTAACTTTGAAGGATAATAATAAATACGAGTCAATCATTTATGTATATATTTATTTGCTATCATGACATACATCTCAATAATTTATATTAATTGAGATATTATTTCATACAATTTGCTTATATTTAAGGACAAAAACAAAATCATTCAAAATATCGTATCAGTACATATTCAGCACAATTTTCGCTTAAACACCATCATACATGTCTATAAATAATTTGTTATCATCGTCCTGCCTCCTGCACACGAACAGGGAAGTTGTAACACAAACCGGACGCTTGCCATCGTAATTAGTGGTGTCGTATTTTACATTCATAGATTTCACCTCCCGTAATAATTGTTTGAGACAAGCACATTGCCACGGATTCCTATCGAAATAGAACTCCATCAGCACAGCTCCAGAGTTCTTCAGCTCCAGGCAAAAGTTGTCTTGCAAATAAGTTATTCTGTTATCCGACAAATGCAATTCACTCAGCTTAGTACCCCTAAAGGCGTTCACTGGTAATTTTGTTATTAAATTATGTGACAAATTAATGAAGTTCAACTTTGGTGTATTCTGAAACTGATTCTCCGCAATCGTACTCAATCTGTTCGCACTCAAATCGATGACTTCCAACTTCTTTAGCGACGCGAAAGCGTCGTCATTTATTTTCTCAATTAAATTCTTCGCCACGTTCAACACTGTCAACTCTTTGAGGTGACGAAACACGGTTGCGTCACTAATCTCACGTATTTTGTTCCCATTGAGAGTGAGATGGGTTAGAGTATTCAAATTCTGCGCTGCGATGAACTTGGGTAGTTCCGTAAGAGAGCACTCTTCCAGATTCAAGTACACCAGTTCTCTCAACGTCCGTAGCAAACTGTCAGGTGCGCCCTCCATATTGTTGTTGGCGAGTATCATGAAATTTATATCACTGGACTGGAATACGTCTGGTCCCATTCCATTCCCTTGAAACGCATTCTTCGCCAGAAACAGCATGCTTATTTTATTGAAAGCGCCCGGATTTAGAGTCTTCAAATTATTTCCAGTCAAGTCGAGCTCAAGCAGATTTGGGATACGAGTCAAAAGGCCGGCGGGAAAGTCCGTGATTAAATTATGAGATATATTCAGGTACCTCAATTTGATTAAATCATCAAATATTCCCAATGGTAGCGTTTTGATTTTATTTAACGAAATATCGAGAGTAACTAAAGACGGAAGTCCGTGGAAGCAATCGTTGCTCACTCCTGATATTCTGCATGCCTTAAGGTTTATGCTATAGGTTTCATTGTTGTCGGAAACGAACCCTCTGTTGAGATTGTAATCATCTTCACCGGGGGAACAGATTAAAAACAATGATATGCCGTCGTCGAATTTGCAAGAAAGTTTTCCGTTGACCATCGAGAATGCACCGATCAAGACAACCATAGTATGTTTCCAACACATTGCTGACGTTTCTGCAAAATCAACCACGCGTCAAAATGTCATTGTCTTATTATATATTTGCTTTAAACCTTGCAAATAACCGGTTTATCGTTCTTTTTCATAAAATACTATTCCATAAAATGTGCACAATAAAGACATGTAACGTCAATGCTTTGATTCTATACTTGTCAAGTAAATAATCAAAGCGCCAATCACTTAAAACACACCATAACTATGTTGAAATTATTACTCATTCAACCGTTCACGCGAAGAATTAATTAAGAATTAATCCAATGCAATATTGTTTTAAAGAAAAACACGAATCATCGTATTTATAAAAGGTCAGGTAAGTATGTTTTGACAGAGATATTGAATTCAGATATATTTAGATCACCTTGAACTCGTATTCAATGCAATTCAAGTTCGTTCAATAAAGTTCGTTCCAATCCTCTTTGTTATCGGTAATTTGAAAATGTTTACCTTGTTTGGCTGATTCCGAGAACGTGTCTTATAGGGCACTCCTTTATAAGTTCTCAGTTCAAAGCGTCTGTTTTAACTATATTTAGATACAATAACCGCTTAGCTACTGAAACACGTCCGATAAGGCGGCCGCTACTACGCGCTGTGGATCAGCGTCCATAAAGGGTATTCCCCCGACACACGAAAGATATAATTGATACTCACACACTCATACACTATAAAATACTATAATACTTATTTAAGTATTCCGAGGGCTTATTGGTAAGTCGTTTTTTGAACAATTTACATTTATTTCTCAACATAGTCTCCTTTGAGGGCCAAGGGATAAAATTTGGAAACTCGTTGAAACAAGTTCAACGAGTTTCCAATTTTTATCCCCTCCAAAAAATACGTTTTGTCGTATACCAGCCCTCCAAACCATCTTTTCAGATTTGGGAATAGGTAATAATCGCACGGAGCTAGGTCCGGCGAATACGGAGCATGTGGAAGCAGCTCGAAGCCCAACTCGTTGATTTTGGCCATTGCAATAGCTGACGTGTGCACTGGGGCATTGTTTTGATGACAGAGGACTTTCTTGAGGGACAATTTTGGTCGTTTCTTCAACAATTCGACATTAAAACGGTCCAATATCTCTGCATAATAAAGGCCAGTCTTTCCCTTTTCCAAATAATCAACCATAATAATTTATTCGCCATACCAGAAGACTGTCGCCATCACCTTCCCAGCCGACAAACCAGTCTTGGCCGGCCAATGATGGACCCAAGTTTCCCCCCACATTGACAAATCGACTCAAAAAATTACGCTTCATCATATCCTAACACAGTTTTGAAATTCGCTTTCGTTCGCGTTTTGTTAGCTTTATCATATCCAAATCTTCATGCAGGATTTTATGTAAATGATACTCGCTCAGTGGAGATGCCTGTGCATTTCCACTGAGCGAGGAATTTCTCAGCTATTTCACGCACTTTCATTCGGCGGTCGTCGAGTACAATCTTATGGACTTCTTCAACAACAACCTCAGTAGTGACTTCGATTGGGCGACCAGAGCGTGGAGTTGACCGACCACGTTTAAAATAATTTATGCAGTTATAAACAGTCTACAACGTTCGTGCGTTAGTGCCAAGAACAGAATCAAGGTCAATCAGTTTTTACTGTGGCAGCACTGCAACCCTTCATAAAAATGTCTTATATCGGCACGCAATTCTGATTTTCCATGATTGAAAATCTACCAGTGATACTATGGTTAAACTCGCAAAATTTACAGCTGAATTTTTGACAGTCTTCTTGCGTGAAAGGACCACGCAACAGCATTCACTGTTGCAAGAATGGGCAGGTCCGTCCAGGTTAGTACCACGACCTCACAGAACACCGGCATATTGTAGAAGTGTTACCCTCCTGCGTTTCATCTAGTGAGTGAGGTAACTGGGGCCCACTTTTTTTAAAGGTGGCAACGCATTTGCAAACCTACGGGTTTTGCAAATGTTCATGGGCGGCGGTTATTACTTAACTTCAGGTGAACCTTCAACTCGTTTGCCACTTTTATCACATAAAAAAAGTCTTCCTTTGAAAGATGTGCCTGCCGTGTTAATGTCATTTACCAGAAAAAAAATTTTTCATTTATAATTTTCTAAATTCATTTTTAATTTTAATTTTGCGCTTACTGTAATGTTATGTCGATTATTCTAATGTAAACCCACGTTAAGACAACGCCGGTCTATATTTATTGATATTAGCGTTGCTGAAAACTGGATACTTTATGTTATTAAAGCAAGTTTCTTCCAGAAAGGATTCTGAAAAACTACTGTGCACCCTGTTTTAAAATAGCTCCTTGTCGATTTGCGTTATCTAAAAACAAAATAAATGAATTTAATGCGCTTTTCACGTACATAGTTTTAATATTAATAATAAATAATATTAACCTTTCATTCCATTTTTAAAATTCTTAACAAAATTCATATAGCAGGCTATTTACGCAATATATGTGATGCGTTTAAATGTTTTGAAGTTTAAAAAAAACTCGCCCAACGTGGGGCTCGAACCCACGACCCTGAGATTAAGAGTCTCATGCTCTACCGACTGAGCTAGCCGGGCTTACATCTACCGATATGAAATAACTGGTAAGGTTTTTGAAGCTTATTTTTTAAATATTATTTGCTAACTTAAGTTTACTTACGTTCATATCTGCGTTTCATTTTCATATTTTTGTTTAATATGACAAAAATAAAATTGAATGTTGTGCTCGGTTGTAATTGAAATGCAAGTTTAGTGATATGTATTAGTCTGTAATAATTTAGTCATGTTAATTTTGTAACCGTGCCAAATAAATAAATAAATAAACAAATAAAAAAAAATGGGGGACTAAAGGGGAGACTGGCGTCTTGCGGTGTATCTTTGTGTCTTTGTGTCCAAATTTAAATGGTTATGATTATTTACCATACATATTAAATTTAAAAGTAGTTAACGGACTTTATCGCGTTTTAATTTAGACATCTTGCACGCTTAGTCTTGAGATTTTCCAGTCAAAGAATTTTATTTGCTATTTCCAGTTCGTTCTGATTCACATATTGATTTTCTTGATTTTTCGCGAATATTATACATATTAAATGAAACTACTGACTGGGTCGATGTTCGAACTCTTTCATCGGACAGATTGCATTGGCAACGTTTCTGAGTGTGATACGGACGGAGTGAAGGCTTTGTTTAACCTATTAATGTTATAAAGGTGTTAGCATTTTGATGTCGGTGAATCGTCATCAATCCGGTTGTAACTGGTGTGCCACAAGGCGGTGTTTTATATTCTCGTTTATTCGAGAAATTTTAGTTTGCTCACTGACATTACACAAAGCTGGAGGCCAAATCTCATATTCCCACCAGTGTCACAAGCGCCCTACAGTGTCCACTACTAATACTGCTGTCAGGGTTACTTTGCTCTGAACGCTTCATAATGACTGAATTCTATTAATTTTTAAACTTTGTAAGTGTGATTTCAATGGTTACCTATTTGTTATCGCTGTTCCTTAAGAGTGCTAAGCACTCTCTATCTCTCTATTATTTTCTGGATTTTTCTCCGTCTTACCTATCTCACCACTCTTTCGTCGTCTCTGTACTGTCTGCAATAAACATATTCAATTCATGCATAGTTCAAGTCATCTTCTCCAGAGTCCTTCTAATCGTTCTGGTTTCATGCACTCGCATTTCTTCGATGCTTAGCATTTAATATAAAATCTCGCGAGCAAAAACTCATTGATGTGAATTATAACAGCGCCAAGCAAACAAGGATAGGTAAGAATTGATGCATAAAGACTATTTATTTTAGTAGTAATACATAAATATCTATCGTCGACATAATCAAAGTAAATCATAGCAAAAACAATACTTAAGGGTTTTAAAAAGTAACTAATTATTCAATACAAATACCTAACCATATACCGTATACTAATAATTAATTTTTAAAATTAAACGGTAAAGAATCTCAACTTTATAAAAAGTGATCAAATTTGATATATACTTGAATACTCGTATATTAAAATTTTAACATGTCTGGAAGGACTACGGAACGCAGAGTAACACGCACCTTCAAGAACTTTAAAAGCAAATGTGTTCAATAGTTCTGGAAGCCGAGGTATTTCAAAAGGCGCTTAGCCACAATAATAAATGGGCGCAAAGAGCTCTCAACAAACTCATTTTTAACCGACTTCAAATAAGTAGGAGGTTTTATAATATGTGCTCTCATATTTAGCGTTTTCGTACCCAGTCAAACTTTGTCCGTATGATTGTCTGTCTATCTGTTAAAACCCCTTTCTGTTGTCAAACATTAGGGCTAGGTCTTATCGCAGTGTAAAAACTTAAGCTCTTGTATCAAAAAATGAAAAAAAAAAAGAAAGAGAACTTAAGAGTTCAGAGAAAGGTAAAAATCCGAAAATCTTAATTAAGATTTAAGTTTATAGTAACCGTCAGAGTGCGAGTCCGGAGTGCGAGATTGCACTTTTCCGGTTTGTTTACTCTTAATTAAAATTTACTTTTCAACTCTTTAAACTCCATTAAGAAATAAATTGAATACTTGTTTCTTTTGTCCTCTTTATCCTTAGTAAGTGACATAACTAAGTCACATTTCAACACAGAGCTATCACAGCGTCATCATGTCATCACAAAAATTTGAGTTCGTTCTTCTAAGGAGTATTAGACAATTCTCAGTGTCAGTCTTAAAATATAGAGGTTATTGGATACAGATGCAGCTTTCGACCGGCTACCATCGTTGGGAAGAACAGTCGGGAACCTTTGAATTAGAGGATACCGTTGCAAATTTGGCGTTTCTCAATTTGGCTTACAATTTACTTGTTGCTCTACCAGACGGCTTATTAAAGTATTAAAATGTAAAAGTCCCCGATTTGATGGTATCGTTTAAAGACGATCCCATCAAATCTTCTTAAATCTTTGTCGAATTTAGTGTATTTATACTTGTCAAATAATCAGATCAGAGAGTTGAAATACTTCCAGATACTTACTACTACAGAGGTGAATACTTAAATGACATACAAATGTTACTAAACTTTAATATTTAAGATTTTATTTTATAATATGTAGATACATTAGAGAGAAATTATTTTCTAAAAAACCAATACACTAGTCGAAATCTTCGCTGCGTGAAAATCTTGTAACGTCGTATAATCTTTGTTTTTATTGCATTTTTTTAGCATTGCTTGGCGCCATCTAGTGTGATCGCATTTTACGTCATCTAAGAATACCGAGAATACCCTATGAATAATGGTTGGCCCAGAACCATCGTATTTCTTTTCAGACTGTTTTAGAGGTATATTTGTACGCGACACATAACAATGACATAATATGTACATAATTAAGACTCTTTACTTGGGCGTTAGATACGGGCATGAGTCATTAGGACTCAGAAGCATTTTATACCAACGTTTTAATGACGCATCAAGGTCCTTTTTAATCTTTTGTTTGGTTTTGACACATCATCTTAAAATGCCCACGTTCAACAACGCCATTATATAAAACATGAATTCCATTATTAATAGAATCAATATCGCTAATGGTACATATAGTGAAGCAAAATGGTACCTACATATAAAAAAGCAAATAATAGATATTATTTTTCTTTAACTATAAATAGGTATCCTTTCAATCCTCCTATAAGTGTTAATGGTAAAAAATGAAAGGACTATTATACTAAAAAATGTAAATTAAAGATACGAAAGTATACATGCACATTTTTCTAGAATCATATTTGATATTTATATTTCGGAATGACAATTCACAATGACATTATAAATTATTTATTACAGTAATCAATTCAAATAAATATATGCTAATTTATTCAGATTTAACGACGTCATCGGTTTGTATTCGTTCTGTGGCTTTTGTTGGTTCTTCGTTATTCACATCTTGAGTTAAATTAACACTGGACTCAGTTCCTTGCACGTCACTTGGTGTATTAAAATCAACAGAACTGTCGAGATTGCTACTATTATTTTCTAGATTAGCCGTCATATGACGCGATAGGTCTAACTCACTTTTCAACTGTTGTACCGCTTGGATGACTTCATTTTGAAAATTCATGTTCAATTTATACAACTGCTCCGAATGCTCTTTCTCCCTTCTAATTTCGTTCTTCAGATGGGTGTCTTTGAACTTTTCGAATTCGGCCATCACCCTCACTTTTGACTCGTACGTGTGTTGCACCATCGATACTAGTTTGAAAAGCTTTTCGATCACCATCTCTTTGACTTCTTTAGATATGTTAGGATCAGATTCCAGGTCCGATTTAGCGTCGAGGGCTAAATCGTTCGCGGATGACGGATAACCAAGGAGAGACTTGGAGCCGTTGGAGCTGTTGCCATGTTTGGTTGGGGTCGCGGTTTCCGCTTTCTGCGCCCTCTCCTTTTCCACCTTTTTTGCCGTGAACGCGCCATGCGTCACAACTTCGGTGAACACGCCCGAGCTCGGTTTGTTGGACTGGTACTCCGCCGTCTTCTTGTTCGCCTTCTGTAGTAGTTCATTGTTCTTCTCCCTTTGTATGTCGTAGTGGGTCTTCTGCAGCGCCTCTTCGTGGACAACTGCAGCGGCATCGGGCTGCGCTTCCTTGTCTCTATTCTGGAAGGGGCTGCCGGTCCTTCCGCTGAAATTGGTCACGGTCAACTTAGACATTTCTCCTCCCTATTTGGTTTGGAAAAGCGGTGCTGGGGCCGTGTAAGCGTGTTAGCGAGGCGCGCTTCGCCCCGGGCACATATTTCTGTGCGACCCGCGCGATGACAATCGGGGAACTAAGCGGTCGCATAATATCGAATTGCTAGGGCCTTACCATACGCGTTGTGGGTTTCGCTCCATAGTTTTGGCCCGTCAGCGCTTCCGAGGCGCGGCAATGAATTTATGATCAGCGAACGTGCCCGCCGTGGGCCAGAATGCAGTTCGCATTGAGATCCGCCCCCACCGCCCGCCAGAGCATGTTTAGTCAGGTGTTTATTCAGCAAACTGTTTTAACGATAGCAGGATGATGTAAGCCGCCGGCGTACACACTTTGCCGCGTTTAAGAATAGACTCCGTATAAGAGATACACTACGCAGGTTTCCATCAAGAGAAAAATGTTACAGGCTGACTGCACCAGTCAAGAACGGAATAACCTCAATGAATATGTTATGTAATATTATTTTTAAAAATAAGATACAACACATTTATATTTATATTTATTATTTATTAAGAATGTCTAAGAATGAGTAAAGTGTGTGTATAAATTTTTAAATTAAAAATAAATCTTTCTTTCAATTTTCATTTAATCATTCTTATTACATGATAAATATCTTTAAAAAAATATTGTATACGAGTCCTAATGTTTACATTATCCTTTACATTTTTAACGCAAATTTGCACCCTACTAGTCAGAGGCCGTTTTTTAGTGGTTATTACACCGTAGTATACCACACATGACCCTTGCGTATTACAAAGGTACATTTTCATATTATTTGTTACATTTCAATCTGACATTTTTAAACAATTTCCGGCAATAAGTACCTATAATCTTTTTCACATAAGTACAAACTATTTATACATCAATTAGCTGTGGTAGGGCCAAGCAACAGTTTTCGCTGTTGCACGGCTCTCTCTTTATTTAAAGGTGGCAACACATTTGCAACCCTACGGGTGTTACAAATGTCAATGCGCGGCGGCTATCACTTAACATCAGGTGAACCGCCAGCTCGCTTGCCTTACCTTCTCATGTCATAAAAAAATAAATAAATCTGTAACTATATAAGTTTAGACATGAATGATTATAATCATTTCATTTCTTATACTTGCAAGTTTCACTAGAACGATATTTTCTTCTACAGTTGTGAATCTGCATTATGTTAAAAATTGGTTAGGTGATGTGATGACTTCACAGTGAAGTCCATCATCTCTCGTGTGTTTTGTTTTTTGAAATGCTTGCGGGTCTACAACCGCTAAACTAATTTCCATAACTAAACCTTGATACAGTGCAAACAAGATATTAAACAAACGCTTACTTAATTTGCGTAATTTATGGATTTATATCTTATGTTATGTAACAAAACTAGAATTAAACCCTTATTCTCTTATATAATATATAAAACATACAAATACTATAGATAAAGAATAGTGTTAACTAAAACACCATAATATGTAGAACCGTGATAGCCCAGTGTCCGGGCGCTCGCCTTTGATTCAATATGCTCGAGCAACCTGAGTTCGATCCCCGGTGCCGGCACCAATGAAGTTTTTAACTTTAAGTGCTGACTTATCACGTGCTCCGCGGTGAAAGAAAACATCGTGAGGAAACCTACATATTTTCGAAATAATAACAAAAAAAAAAATATATTTCGAAGATATGTGAAGTCCGCCAATCCGCAGTGGGGCCGCGTGGTGGACTATGCCCTGATACCCTCTGTATAGAGGAGGCCTTTGCCCAGCAGTGGGACATGTATAGGCTGTTACTTTACTTTTTTTTTAATATATAGAAAAATATTATTATCTTCTGTGTACCTCGTGTTTGTTTCAACATTGATTATCAAAATTAATTAAACAAAAAGTTGCGGGTTTCATAGACGGTCATTATTGTGTAGGACGACGCCCCTCTAGATGGAGTGACAACCTGTGCAAATGTGCAGGAAGTCGATGGATGCAGATGGCTCAGTATCGTGCTTCGTAACAGTCTATGGGTGATGTCTATTTTCAGCAGTTTACTCGATTAGGCTGAAATGCTTTTTAATAACTCAAGCTGATTAAATTGCATGCAATTTTAAATTTAACATTTAACATTTGCAAATTTTATTTCCGATTATTGAAGTTCTTCATGATTGGTTTTTAACTGATGCTTCGTATTGCCGCATTCATGTTACCATCCCAAGCCCGATCCAAGACCTCAGAGGAATGTCACAATAATTCTAATGAAATAATTGGGACAATATATATACCAATAATATATATATATATATACCAATTAAGAAAAAAAATATTCATTTATTTAACTATTTTTTTAAACAATAGTAATAAAATGAACTGAGTATTAAATAAAAAAAATAATATTGTATACAATTCCTAATGTCTAGTCTTTTGCATTTTAATGCCGCGCTGAAAATGGCATTGACATTATGTGAATTGCGAAACACGATACTAAACTTTATTGCTATGTTATTCAGCTCAATGTCCCATGCTGCACATGTTTTCATGAATTTACTGATAATAATGATCTGGTATCACTTGAGGTCAATACACTTGGCATATAATTAGAGGTTGTGACGAACTAATTACCAACCTATAGTTAATCGAAAGAATTGGGTCTCAAAACTTGTTTCGATGTCATACATAATATTTATGTCAATTTTGAAACCCAAAACGAATTTATTGATGTCATTTTAACTGTCATTACTAAACCATTAGTACCGGGGGACCCGTGCTTAGCTCGGTTATTTTTTTTGGTAAATCGTGTATTTTGGAAATAAAAATTACATGGTATAGAAAAAAAAGTAAAAAAATGAGTGTGTAAATGATCGTGATACGAACCGCGGTCGTCTGTTTTGGGGCCGCCCGATTACCGACCGAACTATTATAACATTTTTTTTGATATTTTTCATTCCCTGAAAACAGGGATAAAAGGACATTTTCTAAAAATGAAACCTAGTTAGATTGATTTTTCGCCCCCGAATCTACGCACATACTAAATTGCATGAAAATCGCTGGAGCCGTTTCCGAGATTCCGATTATATATATACAGCGTGTCTTTACAATCGCGACAATAAATGAACACACATATAGTATCTTCTATATGTGATTATTATTAGTACTCTATATGTATTTCTCCACCGCTGAACGCGTGGAAAATCAGCGCTTGAAGTTGCAATCAAAATTTTCATTGATGAACTCAGATTGCTTGAGTATACTACATTAAAAGCGAATGCCTCACCACTTAGCCTCAACGGTTCAGTAAGTAATCACCAGCGGTGTCAAATAATATCAATACTAATACCATGACAAATAAGTCTTAGGTACCTTCCCAGATCATATTCTTACTAAAAGCACTTACAGGTGCTTACCGTCACACTCCGGCTCATTCACCAAATTCTGCATAAAACAAACGCCAACTTGAAATATATCCACCAACTGTGTATTAAGCCCAAAACGCATTGAAAGTTCTAGAGGCTTCTAGGTATATAACAACGCTGAAACGTCCTAAAACTGTAACAACGCAATCACTACTTCGTCATATCATATACAAAGATTGCTTGCAAACTGTTCTACTACTCTAAAAAACGTGGGTTCTGCGTTCGATGAAGCTTTTATAGTCTAAGGACTGAGAGTGCTAAGTTCAGTTATAACATAAACAGTCTACGAGCAACTAACTACAACAACAAGGTGCTTTAAAACTTCGCCCGTGAACTGGCGCATGATTCGATTACAAATGCCTACACAAAAATCCGTACAATTTACGTCTGTCCTAAAAACATTCGCAGAATGCGTCAGTCCATTCTGTACCAAATTTTTACTTTCCGCAAAATTTTTTTGGACTTCTGATCGTTTACTTTCAATGTTTTAAGTTTTTCATAAAACAGATTATTCTTTCACCACTTTTCAAGTAATGAGGAAACTGTTTATGGTCATTTTAGAACGTATAATTTATTAAAAAAAAATGCAGTAAAATTATCCTTTTATTATACATACTGTTAACAATATTTATATATACCTACTAACGCCTACCTTATATCTATACCTTTTAACGAGACCCGTTGGGAAAAAATACTCCTTTAACAATAAATATAACATCAGAAGTAGTTCTCCTATTGAAGATTTAGTTATTTGTTGTTAATGCATTGAACTTTATTTTCTACTAGCTGTGCTCGCGATTTCGTTCGCGTGGAATTGAAAATAAATATAATTTCTAAAATGGAGGTACCCCAAGTGCCAGTGAAAGTCCCGTCAACATTGGTCCGGCCGTTTCAGAGATTAGCCGGAACAAACAGACAGACAGACAAAAATTTCTTATTGCGCTTATTTTAATATAACAAATACACAATCCAATCTTATTTATCTGTATAGATTCACGGCGCTACATTTTAAATTAACAGTGTGCTTGTCTCACGAAACTGAGGTGTTTGACTAACTATTGTCGTAATTTATGATACAAGAATTATTTCCGCGAAGACTATACATGGTTAAACAAAACCATTTTACGGACTTTATCGCGTATTCTAATTGTTATAAATGGCCGACGTTTCGGACATCTTACAACGTTCATAGTCGCGGTATATAATAGTATAATACTGTCATAAATTGTTACCAGTCCTGTCTACGAAAGAAAACTCATAATTTTTCATATTAAACAAGGGCTTCAAAGTGGGTAGGGTTTCAAAGTGTAGGGCCAAGCAGAAGCTGCCTAATGTACGAAGTAAATTATATCCTTTAATGTACGAAGGGCAAGTTTCTCCGGGACAGTACCAAGCCCTCATCGAAGACCTGCGTGTAGTGACAACCCCACATCTTTAATGGTTGACAACCCAACTATCAAATGTTACAGCTGTCCATGGGCGGCGGTAGTCTTTTAAAATCTGGTGGAACTCCGCTCGATTGAAAATGTTTCAATTGAAAAAAAAAAAAAAATTATGTAACAAAGTAGCAAACGAGCTGGCGATTCAACTGATGTTAAGTGATAACCCCCGCTCCTCGACATTTCAAGCGCCGATATCACATGTGTTCGGTCACCCGATGTAAAGTTGAAGTATAAACTTCGAAACGCATAAGTCTAAATTTTAAATACTCCTTTTACTAATGTAAGTTATGTACGTCTGGCTTCAGTTAGGCAGCGGTACTTCCACGTGCAACAGCAGAAATATACGCAGTTTGTACATTGTGCCCTGTATATTGTGTCTCAATAAAAGCGCTTTTTTAAATAATAACTGTGTCCTAAAAGTAAACTATAAATCACTACATTAGACTAAATGAAGATCTATACAATACGTTTTTACGTCGGACTATAACATTAGTTTACAAGTATGTACTAAGTAATATAAATCAAAAGTATAATAATAAATTAAGGTAACGTGGTCGGTAAAATCAGTATTACTCTAACTCGATAAATTGTTCATTGAACGAGTTCACACTGGCTACACTACATTCCATATTCTCAGTGTTTAGATTTAGTTATGTTTGTCTTAAACTTTATTTAAACTTCAATATCGCTTGTAATGATAGTTGTTAGTTGATGTATAAAATAACAGCATGTACATGTCGCACTGCTGGGCAGAGGCCTCCTCTATACAGAGGGTATCAGGGCATCGTCCACCACGCGGCCCCACTGCGGATTGGCGGACTTCACATACCTTCGAAATATTTTTTTTGTTATTATTTCGAAAATATGGAGGTTTCCTCACGATGTTTTCCTTCACCGCAGAGCACGCGATAGATAAGTCAGCACTTAAAGTTAAAAACTTCATTGGTGCCGGCACCGGGGATCGAACTTAGGTTGCTCGAGTATATTGAATTAAAGGCGAGCTCGGGCGGCTCAGTTGATGTATAAAATTGTACAACAATTTTCTACACCGTCAATCGAATACTATTCACCGCGTTACCGTTCAGCGCGTAACGCTGTTTTCTAATAAATAGTCTACCGTCACGCCCGACACCAGTTGCCCAACCGATCCTGACACTCATTAATATATAATTAAAGGATAGAATTGTAAACAACCATCACTTTCACCGACGGCGGAACTATTCCAATGGTGCTGTCTGTCGATTTGTATTCGGCGTGGACGCTCTACGCTGGATCACAAATAATCGAGGCCTTTATAACTTCACCTTATGCGGTATCCGTGTCACCTAATATGTCACATTCCGCTTGCATTCGTCCTATTGCGAATGAATTAAAAAATATATATAACAAGTTCACATGTTTTGACACGCCCTATTAAGCTAAAACTTAGAAACCTCGAATGCTACCGCAACAAGTTGGCACTGTGACGACCAAAAACAAATGAATCTATTGAGTCTGTTAAAAACAAAATTATAAAAAGGTGGCAACGCATTTGCAACCCTACGAGTGTTGCAACCATAGGCGGCGGTTATCACTTAACATCAGGTGAACCGCCAGTTCGCTTGCCATCTTCTAATATAAAAAAGTCACCCTGATTGGCCAGAAAAACTTTAGCCTATATCTTACTCATCCTGGGATCCTGCTTTAGGGCATCTTGCAATTATTAAGCATATTTACTATCGATTTTCTATGTGATCAGTGATCATTTCTATAATCTAATCTGCTTTTTATGTCAAAAGTTAAGAAATTGCTACCTAGCAATAAGGCCGCTTATAATTATGTATACTATGTTTCCTGTATATTCTTTCTGTGTAATTTCTTGTGTGCAATAAAGTACATTCTAGTCGTCTGATGTTTATTGATTACCGCCTTGGTCATCTATAACGCCTCAGTGTTGCAGATGCCTTGCCAACCTTTAAAACGAGGCCCGGCTGACTCCTCAAACGAAAAGCGTAAGCTGCTGTAAGTATAATAAATACTTCCTCCTCACGCGGGTCTTCTGTACTACGATACTTGCTGGATTAGCTATAGCTATCCGTGCAACAGCAAAAGCTGGTGCGTGGCTCTAACTCAACAAACTAGTCATTTTTTTACATACCGATATAAGTTCTAAAGCTTTTAATACGTCTCAACTATCTAGATATATCTATAACTATACCGTTGGAGGCTCATAGCATTTTTTTTATGTGAGTAAGTGGCAAACGAGCTGGCGGTCCACCTGATGTTAAGTGATAACCGCCGCCCACGGACATTTGCAACACCGATTGCAGGTATGTGTCCACCTTAAAAAATCCATCGGAGGGTGCTATTCGTTCACGTGGTGAAGTTCAACCGACGTTTTTCCTTTTTATAAATCAACTCGTAAAGGAGTTACAATCACATCAACTTGATACATGCAGATCGATAGCAATCTAACACCAATCTAAAACTTTTATCTTCTGTGTCCATCTTACTCGTGCGCGCCAAGCGGTTGAAAGTTGAACACTAAATAAAACAAGAAGAAAATCGTCTGATAAGTAAGTTCATAAAAGAAGTAATGTAATTAATTGTGTTTTTCTTTCATCGCCCCTTAAAAATAATTTAGTTACAGCACTTTCTGATGTTGCTACATGTCCATGTCACTTACTAGAAAGAAAAAACCGGCCAAGTGCGAGTTGGACTCGTGCACGAAGGGTTCCGTACCATTATCTACAAAAACGGGAAAAAAAATTATGTCTGTTGTATGGGAGCCCCATTTAAATATTCTGTTTTTAGGGTACCGTACATAAGGGTTAAACGGGACCCTATTACGTAGACTCCGCTGTCTGTCTGTCCGTCTGTCACCAGGCTGTATCTCATAAACCGTGATAGTTGCACAGTTGAAATTTTAAGTAAAGTAAAGTAAAGTAAAGTAAAGTAACAGCCTATACATGTCCCACTGCTGGGCAAAGGCCTCCTCTATACAGAGGGTATCAGGACATAGTCCACCACGCGGCCCCACTGCGGATTGGCGGACTTCACATATCTTCGAAATATTTTTTTTTGTTATTATTTCGAAAATATGCAGGTTTCCTCACGATTTTTTCCTTCACCGCGGAGCACGTGATAAGTCAGCACTTAAAGTTAAAAACTTCATTGGTGCCGGCACCGGGGATCGAACTCAGGTTGCTCGAGTATATTGAAATAAAGGCGAGCGCCCGGACACTGAGCTATCACGGCTCTGAAATTTTAACAGATGATGTATTTCTGTTGCCGCTATAACAACAAATACTAAAAACCTCACCTGAAGAGGTACAAACAAGATCTTGAGGGCGGTCTTCACGTACTCGTATCTTAGAAATATTTATTTTGTTATTATTTCGCAAATATGACGGTTTCCTATGTTTTCCTTCACTGAGCACTTGACAAGTAAGCGCTAAAAATTAACAATTTCATTGGTATCAGCACTGCGATTCGAACTCAGATGGCTCAATGCTCGAGTTATTGAATTAAAAGCGTGGGCAAGGACACTGAGCTTTTAACAACTAAAATCACACGTTAAATCGGTAGCTAATGTCTATTTTGTACGGGCACACCTAAAGATAACGAAGGAACCGTTATATTGAACGGTTACAGAGGCCTATCACTCCACTCACTAGATGGATCGACGGTTGTTTTTCACCTATCGAGCCGATAAATAAGCAATGTTCTCGATATATATTTTACACAAACATTAAAATTTTCTTACACACTTAAGCTTCCTAGCGGCCAAGACTCCGGACCCAATGGGTAAAACGGGAGTAAGACTTCGCTGTCTGTCTGTGTGTCCGTCTGTCACCAGGCTATCTCTTGTGAACCGTTATAGTTAGACAGTTGAAATTTTCCCGGATGATGTATTCCTGTTGCCACTAAAACCAAAATACTAAAAAACAGAATAAGAAAATATTTAAGTTGGGCTCCCATACAAAAGACACGATTTTTTTGTCGTTTTTATAGATAATGGTACGGAACCCTTTGCGTGCAGTGCGAAGCGCACTTAGCCGGTTTTTATTTTCAATAGTGCTATAGCTATTAGCGCAACGAATTTCATGAAATGCAGAACACGTGCATCTTGCACGTGGTGAATCAACCGTTAAAATTGCAAATATTTTTTTTGTCTCGAAATGAATTCAATAAAAATGAAAATGATGTTTTGATAATGAAATAATAATTTCAAACCATCAATATTATCTGATTTTTTTTTTTTTCGAAAATAAACGACCACCAATTATTGGAAATATTCATATAAATATGAAATTGAATTAACACCAACTAAATGGCATTTATCAATTAAGTTATCTCTGATGTGACAAGCTCCGATGAAAATTGAGACATAATTAAGTATGCAGCCGACGCGTGCCTCGGGTCTTCTCCCCCATATCAAATGCCTGCCTGCTAGGCACCATCCGCCTCTCGCTCTGGCATCCCATTCATTCCACTAGACAGACAGGGACGAGCGAACTGGATCAAGCCTCCGACGATTCAGGGTACGGTGTCACAAACAACAGAAAAGGCGCCCGGCCATCGGCAATTCTAAAACGCGCGTCAAACAACCACTGATTCTAGAACATAAGACGTTTTAAATCCGACTTCGCGGTGAGGATTCGTATCAAATAGCTTTCCCTCACACTTCGATCCCGTCGTTCGGAAAGGTCGTAAGTGCGTGATTGGCCGGTACAATGAGAGACAATGCGTACCGGAACTCGGGAGTACGCGCTGAATTTGAAATAGCTGTATAAAAACCGGCGGGCGCTTCTCGAAACTATCACAATTTCGCCAGCTGTCGTCCGGTCAACAAGAAGAACGGTAGCAGAGCAACGATGACGTCAGCTAAAGTGGTGTTCTTAATAGCCCTTGCGCTCTTCGCCAGCGCCGCGGCGCAGCCCCCGAAACAAGGGTTCTGGAAGGGCACCCCCATGGACAGCATGGTGGAGGAGATGAGGTCGGGATGCGCCGAGGGGTCCGACCCCACTGCCTGCATCAAGTACAAGGTGATGTCCCTGCTTGACAGCATCTTCAAGAAGGACTCGTTCCAGGTATGCATCACAACATTTACACCGCTTTCCATCCTTTAAACATATAGAATGGACACTTATACAAAATGCACCAACAGATCTCGGACGCTGTCGAGGTGACGAAGAACGACGCCAGCGAATTCAGCGGCCGCTCCACTGGCGACTTCTTCGACGGCGTGGAGAGCTACATCCGCTCCCATGACGTCACCTTCCAGCTGCCCATCGCTGACACCAAGGTGACCGTGAGCCCGAGGAACTTGGAGAACGACGAGCTCAGCCTGAACATCAAGTTCAACAAGGAGGGCGCCAGGTCGGTCGGAGAGGCGCGCAAGGCCAAGCTCAAGAAGATCATCGTGCCCATTCTGGTGTTCGTGCTCCTCAAGGCCATGACCCTCATCCCCCTCGCCATCGGAGTCCTCGGCCTGAAGGCCTGGAACGCTCTGCAGCTGTCCTTCTTCTCTTTCGTCGTCTCCGTCGCACTCGCGATCTTCCAGCTTTGCAAGAAGGTACGTACCACGTTAGATGTTGTAGCCGTTAAAAATGTATCAGCATAGACATTAAATTCACTCTAAAGACTTCCTCGGCACAGTACTCGACTGCTTAGATTCGTTGTTCCATAAGCACCCTTTAAACTATGCACTTTTAAAACAGCGCACATAATTTTCCTGATTTACGATCACTTCACGCTGTATGTTGACTAACTAAACGCATTACGTTTATGCCCGCTAACATTGTAGTTTACCCAGATCGCGGCAGACAACTCGCACCCGCAGATCGCCGCGCACGGGCCCTGGGACGCTGCCTACGCCGCCACCCGCCGCAGGAGGGACGCTGAGCCCCAGGAACTCGCCCAGGAGCTGGCCTACAACGCCTACCATTAAGTTATTCCACCCACTACGACCACCAACCAACCGACGACCCGATTTGAAGTCCCCTCAAAATGGCCGCTCGAATTTTGAAATTCGAACACGGTTTTATGAAAGGAAACACAACCAAATAGACAAACGGTTTCCCAGCGAAGCTGTGTACGTGTAAATACTGTGTAATACAAATTATTTATTATTGTGCGTGTGTTAGTGTGAATGTGTTGTGCGAATGATATTTATTTTCAAATAAATCATTGAGATATACACGTTGTTATTTTATTATATACGTTTGGTCAATTTCTATTGGAAAAAATTTAAAATACTTCGTAGAGCTCACCTCCATACACTAATAAACCAGATTCCAATTCCAATGGCTTCTATATACACATCGTCATAAACATAGTTTTAGCACGTAAATGTACAAAAATAAAATTGCCAATACATTTATTCAAACAATGCTGAGTTACCATGGTTCACATGTGCAAAATCATAACAGAAGTAAAGTATGTATGTAAATTAAGTAAAGTATAATATAAGGTTACGATAATTGTTTGTTGTGCCACTTTCCGCAAGACATAAATCCCGAACACAATCTGGACTGTATTTTAAAACCAGACCAAAAATAAAATACTCCCTTTTACCGACAACTAATGATAATTTTCTAAAAAGAAAACTAAGTCTAAGCACTTAAGTAACTGTGCATTATTTAAATTCTTCATTCAACACAGTTTTTGCGATATAAAAAGATTAAATGTAGGTTGTAGAAATTATGATAATTGCGCCAATGAAAGCTACGAGTTACCTCCGGGAGTGCTTCGATGCATATTGATCACATGCAAAATGAGATACGAACGAGGAAAAATAAGTAGAAAGCCATCGACATCATTTCGGTTATGGGTACAATGGTAAGGACTACGAGGAACACTCAATATCGTATGTGCCGATATGACACTCATTTATATTCCGTTTTACTAACACTCTACATACTTTTAATTAAGCGCCAGGCCCCCGAGACTTGATCTCAGTACTCTGAACTTGACAGCCAGAGAAATGGACGACATATTTTGTTGTTCCCTGGGTGAGTTCACAAATGTAGCAGTGTGTATTATTTATTATGTACCTAATTTAAAAATAGGAATATGTTTTATATAGTGTTTAGTTACACGTATTAGAATAACCCGTATAGATAGTTGTAAGTGTTGAAATAAATAAATAAACTATGGTAAGGCCACGCAGCAGTTTCGACGTTGCACGAATGGGCAGGTCCATCCGTGAAAGTACCACGACCCCATCGAAGACCGCCGTGAAGTGGAAGTTTTATACTTCTTCGTTTCGTCTAGTGAGTGCGATAGCCGGGCCCACCTCATTAAAAGGTGACAACGCATGTGTAATCCTACATTAGGTGTTGCAAATATCCATGGGCGACGGTTATCACTTAACACCAGGTAAACAGCCAGCTAGCTTGGCCTATTCTTACATAAAAAAACATCCCATCTACACCACTACAGATTGCTCTGCTTAACTTCTTTACTACCACGAATCGTTTTTTTTTTTATGGAACTGACGAGCGCTTGACTGCCATCCCACCTGATGGTAGGTAAGTGGCGATGCAGCCGTGGATGGTAAGCGAGAGAGTGAGAGACATTATAGTGAGAGACATTTTCGAAAATTATGTTACTGTTGTGGTGTCTAAAGTCGTAGCGTCGGGAGTCTACTATTATTTATTTATTAATCACTTTATCTTTGAAATCTTCGAAACACCTTGTCTCATGGATAACAACCACAAAACCCACGGTGTCCACCCACCACCCCACGAACAACACAACGATGAGCACGCTTCGGAGTAAGGTTTACCGTACCCATTACTCTCGCTGCTTTGGGGGCAACGCGCGACCACTTACCACCCATATAGGACTCACTACAACTGACCAGGCCAAGCCCAGACCATTGCACAAGACGAGAGCTGACGCCGATACCACCTAGCCTATTTAAGTTATCAAAACAAATCAAATACTAGCAAGCTATACACGAATATGCATTTTGCTTTACGTTTGCTTACGTTACTTGTGCATTTCGCACTGCAAAGCAAATATCCCCTCAGACCAAAAAATATTTAGGTCACGCGGCCCCAATACGGATTACTTTTACAGACTAGAAATATTTGAAAACATATTTAATATTCCAGAAATTTTTCATTCTATTTCATAACGTCGCCTCCTGTGTCATAAATAACTCATTTATTTATTTAACACAAACAAAGATATATAAGAAACATATAAAAATGCAAGCATTATCAAAATGACATTTATTTATTTATTATAAACAAAGTAAACATAAAAATTTTAAAATTCACAAAATGATATAAGTGGATCCTTAATTATTATTGGTAAAACAGACAGTGGACACAACCAAAAAAGATTATACTGAAATAGTTAATACTATAAAGATTAAACATAAACTCTTTTATCTCAATACAATATGAAATCAAAACTACCTTGTTTCAGCTGATCCGAAAACTCTTTTTCTCGATTATCGATTTAATTTCGCATTTCAGTAGTATTAAATTCATCCACTTGTTAATGTCTACTGCTTTGTCACATTAATAATTGTTCAAATCTCATTATAAATATTTTTTAATTTTCAAAAATGTCGAACCTCGCAAACAATAATTTACGTATGGTCCATTTATCAATATATTTTAATTTATAACAATTTGAATCACACAATGAAAACAGATAATTTATTTATTTATTTTTACTTTATTGCAACCACCTTAATCAAGGATTACAAAGGGCGAACTTAATGCCTTTAGGCATTCTCTGCCAGTCCACCCGGGGCGTGGAGATAAATTGTGGTAGGTGCAATAAAAATAAAAAAGTTCATTACTAATGTGAATGAAATATACAATGTATGGAATATAGACACGCTTAAATAAATATAAATACTTATATACATATACAAAAAAATATATACTTATACAAATATACACATACATATTATATATGAAAATGTTAACATAATTATATACATATAAACGATATTGAAACTAATGATGAAATTTAACATTCAGATGTTAAGTAAAATTCGCGGACTTTGAATGAGGCCTTGCAAGGGGCACTATGTATGTATATACGATAATTTAATTGTGTTATAATAACGAATTATTATTTTAAAAATATGGTGTCTATAAATTCTTTAAATTTGACGACAGTGACATCTCTTGGTAATTTTAAAAGTTTAACGATTTATAACCTCAGTTGAAACAAGTAAATCTGTGGAATTAGAAAGGTATCAACACGGATTTGCTTCAAAGCTTAAAAAACAACTCGTTTGGATGGCGTTGTCATCAACGAATATAAACAATTTGTTTATACTTTACCATAAGCAACAAAACACGTATTGCTAAAATTTAAAATACCATTTACTTTTACTTAAACTATTCAAGGCCTAGAAGATACTAAAATATATAACAATGTAAATTCATTAAGTAGTTACCAAATGTACCAAAACGTATACAGGTGTCGTTACCATCGCGACAATAAATGAACACACATATAGGGAATAAATTTTTAAAGTTGTATTAAACATTTAAATTCTTTAAACATCAATATTTACAGATTATTTATTAAATTTTCCAAAACAAAGAATTTTAGAACATATAAAACTTACCTTACCTATAAAAGCGTAACGTAAAGTTCATTTGTAAAGGTCACAAAGCATATGAATGGGTTGAATGAATTTAAAAGGGACAAAACATACTGTTAGAAGGAGAGGCTTGTAATACGACGCTGTGACGCGAGTTGTATAGGATGTTACATATTTTGTTTCTTTTTTTACTTAATTAGTTTGTTTGAAAAATATTTTTTTTTAATTATGGATTTTGTTTAACGTTAATATTTTTTTATGATTATTGGCAAGTAGCGTTAGACGTGTGTTCATTTATGGTCGCGATGGTAACGACACGCTGTATATATGCTTAAAAATATCTACACATGAAGGAAAAATATTTTATAAAATATATACGTTCACAAATTATTTTATAAAATGATTTTTATTAAGTTAATACAGCGATAGAATTTACATCTTATACATAAATATATTTATCTATATTTTATATATGATCCATTGTTTTGTCTTCGTCATTTTGAAAAGTTTTCAGTCAGCTTCTTTATAAGGGTAATATTATAAATGCAAAAGTAACTCTTGTCTGTCTGTCTCGCTGTCACGCCAAAAGTACTGAACCAATTTAAATTAAATTTGGTGCACAGATAGTCTAGAGCCTGAAAAAGGACATAGGCTTTTAATTGGAAAAAAGTGTCGTAAAGGGTTGAAAAGGGGAAGAAAAGTTGTATAAAAGTTTGGTCATTTTCAGAACAAAAAGCATAAAACTTATATTTTAGGCTGTTATTAGATATAAATAAATATATGGCATTCAAAGTTTGTAAAAATGTTACCGCGGACGCAGTCGTGGGCACAGCTAGAAGATTATAAATTGTAATCCATTGTAGCCTTACCGAAAGAAAGGCTAATCCTACGTTAGTTGTGTCATAAGCGCAAATTATACTAGGACAAACAGCTTGCTGTAGTAAGTAAAAATTCCGAAAAATAAAAAAATAAAAAAATTTAAAAGTAAATTTTGGTTATAGTTTTCACGAAAATCTAAATTTAGCCACATCTTTTTATTATGTTGACTCAGGCAGGACCTTGATGTTTATACACCTAATAGGGACTATAGAACTCAGTACCTGGTATTAATTTCAAATTGCTAGGTCTACCCGTTCCTGAGAAAATCGGTGGTGATTATTTACCAGTTTTATAATGGCGGTATAATTGATAGGTACGAAACCCTTGACGTACAAGTTCGACTCTCACTTGACAGGTTTTTAAATGTTTATAGTGCTAATATCTGCACTTAAAATGAAACAATGAAACTTGTAGAAAATGTAGCGATTTTTGTTTCGCTGCTGCGGAAATCGAAACTACGTTTACCGGCTACGCGCCAAAGCACTCTA